ATTCATTAACATTCGTTATTGGTGTACTTGGAAATTTTTTAGCATTCAAAATAGTTTATTTACAACAAAAGAAAGTAGCTAGACGATCAATAAGTACCACGAATATTTATCTGGCGAATTTAGCATTGTCAGATCTGTTATCGGTTATAACTATTCCACTTCAATTTTTATTTTGTTCCCATTATTTACTCGAACAATTTATAATTGGTCGACATCTATGTGTAATATTGAAATCCATACAAGTTCTTACATATAATGTATCAATATTAACAATGGTCGCCATTGCAATAGATCGTTATTATTTAATACATTATCCTCTTCAATCATCAAATAAACGTCTAAAACCTAGATATTCACTCTCAATCGTATGGTTGTTATCCATACTATTTGCCAGTACATGTCTCATATCAATGAAAGTTTCAGAATATTTTCTATCGTCTCATGAACTAATTGGATGTCGGACTTTATTTGCCAATGTACTTCCTATATCCTATATTTTGTTTCGTAAGATACGAGTTACCATATTGGCTATTTGTTTCTATTGCATTCCATTAATAATAACAGCCTCGTTGTATACCTTATGTGTGTGTACTACTTTGAAAAGATCAGCTGTCGGAGAATCGAATCATACACTATGTAACGAGTCGAAACATCGAACAATGAAAATTTTAATTATCATTTTATTGGTTTTTGCATTATCTTGGCTACCATTTCATATAATGAATTTATATGATTTTTATTCTTCTAGTCGAAGATCAATATTATATCAATCAAATAATAAAAAATGTAATGCATCTACGCTATATTCTATTTTCTATTGGATTGCTATCAACAGTTCCTGTTATAATCCGTTTATATATAGTTGGTTTAACAAGAATTTTAGACGATCTCTTAGAATATTTTGCTGTCAGCAAGATCAACAGAGATCAAGAAACGATTCAAATGTTAGTAAAATATCTAACAGCATTTTCTATTTAGTGATCTTGTAAAAGTATATTTTGAATAAATGAGGCTAACTCCAATGGGATCTTTTTCAAACAAGAACGTCACTCAACATTATCAAAAACAAATAAAAATTAACATATGATTCATCTTAATCAATACTCTCACTCTCTCTCTCTCTATGAAACCCATAAGAGAGACTTTGATATCTGTATTCTACAAAGCAATAGTGGTTTCAAAGTTATTTTGCGCATTTATTTCATGCTATACGAGTTTTCATCGGGTCGTCAAAAGTTAATGAGCTAAATTTTTATCTCTTCTATTTGACTATTTTTGTTGATTGAAATCTGACAGAAATAATTATGTTCTCCTTGGTAATATGAATAATTCATCTATGCAAATGAATGAAAGAAGACATGTGATACGGTGTCATGTATTATCACTATTGAAATAGAAGAAGAGAAATTAATTCTATTTCGCACGTCTATTTATATGGTAGATTAGATTCTTTCTAGCTGTTTTATATTTACATATAATATCATAGTTAATATGGGAATTCAGTTGAGTTTGGAATGCATATTAATAGTATGAGTCACATGATAATTAATATTTGTTTACTATTGTATTCAACTTTTGTAATTTTAGTAATTCTAAATAATTGATCGAGCTTCTATGATTTATTTTGAATTATTTTAAAATATTTACATATAAAAAGTTTTTATTTTTAACCATTCTTACTTAGTTATTACTCGAATTTTATGAATTTTACTCATTTCCTTATAACTAATCGATTGATATTCGTTGCTATGAAACATACGTTACATCCATTATATATTTGTTTTTTTTTGTCATATGAATCTCTTACAAAAAAAAATAAGCATTGCCAATTCTAAACTACAATGTTACATTGATAAACTTTCTTAGAATAAGTCTATCGAATAGATAATCAACAATTCATTTATAGTCCAATTATTATTCCATCAATTGAAAAATAGATCGACTACTATTCTGAATAGCATAAATCATTCAATTTCAAGTTTTTAACAACTAATCTGCTTATACTAAACATTTAACCAATCACTCGATCCTCTCTTATGACGAGCATGGAAAAAAAACGTATTTTCTAAAAACAAATAACTCAACAATTCTTGATTTCATTTCAACCAATGATTCAATGTTCCCATGTTCCGAGCATCGAAAAAAAAAGCAGTGTTGATACGATTGAACATTTGAAACAAACTAAACATTACAAAAAAAAATTATCTTTTCTTTTGAACTCAGTAGAAGCAGACGAAGTGTTCGACTGAACGTATTAAGAAAGATATTTTCAAAAGAATTTTTTAATGAAATTCAATTTTTTTGTTTCGAAATCTTAATCATGAAAAATGTTCCAAGTAAATTATTTGAAAGCCACATACAAGAGTAGTATTTGTTAAATCTATTGTTGAAATTGATAGAGATCTGTTTTCAATTATTTCCCTTCTCGAGTGCAATTCATAAGTTTTGAATTGACCTCCATCACGATATTCTGCACGTAATAGAGAAATCAAATGCTCTATACAAAAGGAATCCTATGTAGAGATGTCACATGTACAGTGCCGCTGAAATTTCATCGTACAATCAATAGATGGCTTTGTTTTTTTAATATCGTCAAAGAAACTCAACGTATTGAGCTATGAATATTGGCAAAATATAATTCATTTACGTCAAATATCATCTCTTTTCACCGTAAACTCACTCTGCAAGATAAACTCAACTGGAACTCTTATAAAAGTGCATTTTCATCTGTTCAATCGTCAAAATTTACGAGCTTCTTAAATATCCTCGAATCATCTGGTTTTCGGCGTATTGTCAGTAGAAATATGGACATATCATTATTTTCAATTTTTGAGCTCTTAACTATAATAATAATTTAGATATTTTCACAACATAAGTTTCGATCGAATCTTAGTTCTTGCCTTAGCATAGGTATTCAGTATTATCTAAAGTCTCAAAATTTTGATGATAAATCGATGCTTACTCTGGGAAATATGGATCCTTTTTTTTTGTTAAATCAATTAACAATCTAATTATAAGATTCAAGCTTAGAATGGTTTAGAGGCATCAATTTTTTTGTACATGGTCCAATCATCGATGGAATATATCGTGCTTACTATTTCGATAGATATCATTCTCACCAACTACAAATATTCACTTCTATGTTCTGTATATGTATTTTATTCGACGTTTTTCGATGACTTACTCACGATACATTATATTTAAGAAATTAGTAAGATTGGATGATTTAATAATTGGAGAAGCTCCATTACTAGCTATTCTCGTTATATTTCGATTTGCAACAATAAATTAAAATTGACTATGTGTTTCTATTGAACCTCTGAAAAAAGCATAGATTTAAAATATGACATAATTCACTTGTTATTCTACATCATTGTAATCACTTTTAGGATAAATAAAATGCAATTGTTCACAAGTCATAGTTTCGACCTAATAAAATTGATATGGGTGTAAATTAGTACTATTTAATATGCTTGTGGATTACAATAAAACTTTTAATAATAATACGCAAATATCACCAGTTCTTTTTTCTAGTGTGAATACATAACGTCATATGGTTCGGAACGATTGTTCATCGCAATATAGAAAGATAGAGAAATTTACAAGAGAATAAAAGAAAAGAACTATTTAGTCATGAAGTGATTCATCGTCGCAAACACAATTAGTGTAACTATTATGAAGTGAAAAAAGCCTGTGTTAAATGGAAATTAAATTAAAAATGTCAAACAATCAATGAAAACTTGTTTTGTCCTTCCCGATCGCATTACTTTTTCACAAAACTCATTATAGGTTCGTTTTCAGTCTCTGATTTGTATCATCAGAATGTTCAATTATATATTTTGTTCGCTTTTGTAATAATATTTTCTTTAACAATCCAATATGTTTTTTTCGGAAAGATGAGTATGCATGATTGACATGTTGTCTACGTACAGCCATCAGTTCTTGCTAAGTCTTCGAGTGATTCTTTATCACTTTTGATCGGATAAAACTCTAAGCTTTTGCCATACTTTATGAAATACGATGGAAGAACAATGTCAGCGTGTATCCCAGCAGTTAAAAGTCTCTCTTGCACTGTAGCGTCTAATAATCCAAAGATACTATTTCATCGAAATGCACAATATCTTTTCTTGAGCTGTCTAAACCGCACATAAAAAGTCTAGTTAAAATGCATTCGCAACTTCTTTTCTTCCATAGTGTTGGAACTGACTCATATTAGAATATACGCATGTGTCATCACAATAGATAAGAGAGAAGAACATATAATGAAGAAAAGGGAAAGGCCAGCAGACATAGGATAAAGAAAAATATGACAATACATTAGTGACTATCTAATGAATGTTTTTAATACAGATGATTTTATTGTCGACCATTTCCCATCGGTTGAAAAAGGAGAATGTAAACGCAACAAATGAAAGATCATCGTTTCGGAAATGCTTATTGATGGCGACATAGTTTTGTCACGTCTTGTGCTGCGGATCAATGAAGAAGAAGAAGTCAATATCAGTTTATTGACGTGTTAAACAGTAACAAGGACAAAAGAATATGTCGCAACAAATTGTCGCAATCATATGGGAAAAATATGAAAAAGAAAAAACGCAATACAAAGAAAAAAAATGAAAAAGAAATACGTAATATGAGACTAGACATAGGACAAAGAACGAAACAATATATGTATTATCTAGCTACTCAGAATGTATAACAAAAACTAAAGAGAACGAAAGAAAAGGAAAGAAAACAAATATAGTATTGAATGTATTTGTTTTCGCTATATGACAAGTTTGACTACTTTTTCTATTGAAAAACAAGAGTGCGGGTGTGGGTGTGAGAGAAGGCACTACCAACACCCAAACCCATACCACTCACATCCACATTCACATCCACAGCCATACCTACACCACTGGTCCGGTCTTGGTATATCCATAACCCACCCACATCAGCATAACTTTTCCAGTCATTAATGGACTATATGGAATTCAATTGAAATACACTAGAGAGAATAACTATTTAGTATTTATAACAGATACTTCCAGCCGCTGATTCGTGCCAACAACAATCATTTGATGCTTACGAACATTTGTAAATCGTTCTTTAACATAAATTACGAATCGTCCAAAAGGTGATGTCTGCCAAAATTCCTTAAGATATATTTTTGATAAATAAACATAGATGAGAAATGCTAATGCTAATGCACTGTTGTCTAATAGTTGTATTACACTCTCTATACGTGATACTGTTATAGAATCTGCTCGTAAACAATTCATGAATTTATCAAATATAAAATAGGGACTAGTCAACAGACAGAAGACTAGTGGTGGTAGAAAAAAATCATAATGTTTCGATAGAATTAAAATAAGTGACGAACGAAATGATTCGTCGTTGACTAAGTTGAGACGATGTTCAATGAGATGTTTAAAGATAAATATACATGCAATTGTAAATGAAAGTGGTGCAGCTATATAATTAATATAGTAGAATATCGAATAGAATGTATAACCAACTGGTGTAAAGTTTAGTAGACAGAAATCATATGAATTATAACTATAGTCTTTTCGACCAAATAAAATTGGTAGTAGATTTGATAATGGTATTAATATATAGAGTAATATAGAAGAAATCAATGATCGTCGTCTTGAATCATAGAGACTAACAAGTGCATATTCAATAAGAATACGTTCAACTGCAATGCATAAACAAAACCAATAGAGACAGAAATTGAATGAATATACAAGTAAACGTATAAAGGCACACTGTATCAATCGATTGAATTCTGATGCTTTTTTAGAACCATAAGCTACATTCAGAAATGCAAACACACTTTGTATGATACTGTTAATCAAACCAGTTAATGAAAATAAGATTAAATATATACCCAGATTTGTTATACGTATTTTTTTAGAAAATAAAAAGGTTTGTAATGATAATAGATTGCTTACGAATGATATTATACTAATTGTACTAAGTATAATTTGTTCATTGCGTGGATTATAATATATTTTATTTTCTTTTGATATACCATACATCCAAAGATTTTTTGAATATCGTTCAATTTCACATTGATTACCTGTAAAACATCGATTACATAAACAGTATGATATTGTCGTTGTATCATTGATAAAGCATTTGCCATTATTTTGACAAAAATTTGTTACACATAGCATGGTTAGGTTATCTATAACGCAAAGACGCTCTTTACTGGATTGCATACATGGCATAAGATATATATACACCACGGTGACGTAGTCAGAATATTTTTCTTTTGCGTTCTCCACTGGCAACATCATTAATTTACTACTAGTAGTCAATATGAAGACAAAAAAAGGAAGTGACTAGTTGACAGGTGAAATATTAATTTTATTGATAAGAGCTGCTTGTGTTCAAAGTCATACATGTTATAAAATATTATTCTACTCCCTTATCTTTTCGCAGAACAAAAAAAACAGTATTTTGAAATAGCACATAAATCATGCTGATAAGGTTGTTTTATTTTCACACATATGAAAGTTAACACCTTTTAACTCGTAGTGTGAATCATGGACCATCCAAACCAAAAAAACGCTTGAAATAATTAATATTTTTATTCAATAAAGTTTCGTCGATCAATCTTTCAATCTGAGTTACAAGGTTTTTGCACCTATTTATTAAAAAAGATAACGCTCTGTTGTGATTTTTTTTGTCTTTTTTATAATTTTTTTCTCTTTCTCTGTGACATAGGATGAATCAATGTTAGTGCGGCAGTGAACAGAAGAGAAAAACAAAGAAGAACAAGTCTATTACTAACTTTGAAAGTGAAAAAAGCAGTTTTATCAACCTGCTCATTAGGGATAGTCTTTTTTCGTCTCTAATTTTTCTCACGGACATCGAACAGAGAAGTCCGGAAGATTGAAATGGAAAAAGACCGAATGTTTGGAACGATAACCCGAAAAAATCCGAATTTTAGTAATGAAAGTCGTCCGAGTGTTTGAAATAGCATGAGCCAAGGCTTTTTATCACTTTTAACCGACTGATTATCGATCTTCGTTGACTGGCCAATTTGTTTTATTTGCTTCACTTTGTCAACTTTCTCAAGAAACAGTAAATAAGGGTGTGGGTGTGGGTGTGAATCTGTTATTCTTCATAACCCACGTCCACATCTTCTTTTTTGAAAACAACTTTATTTGTTGTTTATTTTACTGTCATTTTACTAACTGTTTGATCAATTACGAGCAAATAAATTTTCATGTTCTCAATGTCACTTGTTATTCTATACATTCTAATATTTTTTCAAATAGAATAAAGACTTTATATTAGGTTATTCATCTTTTAATTTATCGATTAAAATTTTATAATAGATTTGTTTAAGACCCATTAATATTCATTCGACTTTTTGTATAAGTAACCAAAGTAATTTTAAACAAGTAATGATTTCGGTGTGTTAAGTGGACTTATCGGAATAAATAGATTTTCAAGAAAATTATACATATTCGTCATATCACGTAAACGGTAGAATTACGAACTAAATTAAAGCTATCAAACTATTAATAATATTTTTTTTTTGTTCTTATATTTTGAGAATATGATTCTTTTGATTCATAAAAATATACAACAGAAAAAATTTGTCTGAAAATTAAGTTGATCAAAAATGAAATAAAAACATACGTAAAAAAAATATAAAATTTGATTGCTATACTAGCGAGGAAATTCCAATACAAAAAAATTTTCTTAAATAATAAAACAGACATTTTATACATATGTTTCAATTTCATTGATCAAAATAAACATTATTGTGAATTTTATTTCATGATTTTGATTATAAAACATTTTTATTAATTGAGGAATTGATTTGTAATCAGAATTAGGGTGTGGCTGTGGGGTACAGTGTGGGTGGGTGTGGGTGTGTGATGTGGGTGTGTGATGTGGGTGTGGGCGGTGGTATGGGTATGGATGCGTGTGTGTGTGGATGTGCACCCACCTCTCATCGCCCACACCTACCCACACCCATCTACATTCATACCCACACGTCACTCCAACATCCACAACCACACTCGCACTCACACCCATACACCAAAGTCACAACCACACCCACTCACATTCATATCCACCGACACCTACATCCACACACCCCACCCTGCATACCCATACCTATCCACACCTATACCCTCCTTAACTGAAAGTTCTAGAACAGTTTCAAAGCAATTCTATATTTCGTACTAATTACTCCTGAAGCCAGGACTAAAGCAACATGCCTGAGACAATCTGCAGGCTGACAGAGACTGATATTTTACTAATTTACTACTTCAAAATGTCCAATTTAGTTATCTTTGAAAAAGAAAATGAAGATTTTATATTGTTTTCAATCAGTATGAAAAGTATGAAACTCAAGCGATCAGTATTTAGTTGCCGTTCAACAAAATGCCGGTGAGGTTAAGCATGGGTAAGATAACATAATAATCCACTAAGTTCACTAGAAGATTAGGAATCGGTGGCTAAATAGCGTCGTTTCACTGGAGTCTAATAGAATGTCTTACTAGCAGATGAATACGATCGGAGCTATCGCTTACTATATGAACAACTAGTGTTTGAATCGTTGATAACTATGTCATATTCTTCTACATTTTGTGATTTTTATTTTAAGTGAAGAGTTGCTTCCTACACTGCTACAGCTAGAAAATCGACTTCAACTAAAGAGGAAAAATTTAACATTTATAGTTTAAGAAAAGAAAGAAAATTGAAAAAATTCTCAACTTTTCTTTTTGTCTAACATTTGTTTTGATATGTAACGTGCACGCTAGATGCGTGTAATTTTTCATCCAAGTTATCAAGAGTTCGGTTTTCATAAAAATCATTCTTCAAGTTTCAAACATGAAAAAGGATGTGCGGATGTGGGTGTGGATGTGGATGTGGATGAGAATGTGGATATCTCTCTCACCTTTATTCTAATTCACATTCACGCTTATCCACGCCCAAAATAGATACAATGATACTACTGTCATAAGCATATGAAAATTGCATTGAGCTCGTAAACCATCATTTATTTTAGTGTGAAAATAGTTTGGAAGATCTATTCTTCTAATGGAATGATATAATTGAAAATGATTAGTCTCAGTGTAACAAAGTCCAACTTTATATTTCTTGCAATAGGTGCCGGTTCTTTTTCGACAGCTTGAAAATTAGCACCATTCGCTTCGAAAATTTCTTTTTTATCGTTCATATATTTCCATCCAGGAAAATGACCCATTTGGTCATATTTTGAAAATGGAGCTCACTTTCCATTTTTCGTTGCTTCAGTCGAATTTTGTCTGCAATCTGTATCTCGATCCTTTACTTGATAGGAGGTACTCGAGAGATTGAAGGATCAGTGAAAATGTTACTACGTTGTTCGTTTGTATTCATTACTATATTTAAGATAAAATAACTCGTATGTTGACATAAATTTCTTTTTTTTGTCTTTTCCTAATCTTTCTCTTCTTCATTCTATTCATTAGAACATTTATGACGTGATAACCTGAAGGTCGTAAAGTATAATTTAAAAGAATTGTGTAAAACAGTTATCTTCTATACACTATTCAGAAACATAGTCAGAGTCACTCATTTAACTTCAAAAATTAATGAATTCAAACGTGCGAGAATTGGACACGGATCTATTTGTGTCATATTATCAGAGCTCGCTTTGCAATTTTCAAACTATTAACAATGAACTATTGGAAGAAATTCTTCAGAAGAATCACTCATGTGCATTCTTTATGGATCGATCAATTTCATCCTTAGCGACGTACAGTGCTGCTTTGAGAGAAGATGGGTATGCATTGATCGATGAGTTTCGAGAGAAAGTTCCATTGACAACTTATGAAGACTATCGTGATTATATTGATCGAATGGTTATCGATGGAGAGAAGAACTTGCTATCGTCTGAAGACGTAGTTTATTTTTCTACAAGTTCTGGAACGACGGGAAAGGCTAAAATGCTTCCTGCAACCTCGACGACAATGGCAAAACTTGGTGAATCAATACAATTAGGACTTTGTATTGTACAGAGATCATTTCCTTCTTCATCATTTTTGTCTCCTGAACAACGATCATTCGTCTTGCAAAGTGGAAAGAAGCATGAGATGTTTCCAGGATCAAAAGACGGCACACCAATCGGTCCCATTAGTCAATATTTGTCGACTGTTGCATCCTTTCCTCGAACGCAAACATTTGGGTCTATGGATAATGTCGTATCACTGGATATTGTTGAAGAAATTACTGATTTCGTGACAAGTGTATTCGTTCAACTTGTTTTTGCACTTCCGAATCTGAATCTTCACTCATACATAGTGGCTTTTGCTTCAGGATTGATCCACACTGTCAAGCTCATTGAAAATTATTTTGAAGAAATCAGTCTTTGTATTTCAACTATCAATTTTAATCATAGTTCACTGGTTCGAAAGAATATTTCTGATTCGGACTTCGTATCGATCTTGAATCAAACATTGATTGAAGTAATTGTCGAACATGGAGGGGAGACATATCGGTTAGAACGAGCCCAACATATTCAAACTGACGAGGGAAGGGCCCCCACTGTCAAATCGCTTTGGAGTCGGAACTATGTGCATCATGTAGGTCCTAATGAGCTATGAATACCCTGAAAAGAGTTCGGGCCGCTAGCTTATTATTGTCGAGATACTGCATTTTTGTGGTATTTTTAATTAAGCACAAGGCTGTGGTCCCCCTCAGGAATCAGAAAAACTGAGTTTCGAGTTTTGACTTGAAACTTTGCACAGAAACAGGCCTCAGTGAGAGTAGTTTATTGTGAAAGTTTCAGGTGTTTTGGTTGTTCCTATCCTAAGATACAGCTAAAAAAAGGTGTTTTTACACTGCTCGTATACCTCCGACGGGTTCCAATATTCTTATTTCAGAATGGGAACAACCAAAAGATCTGAAACTTTCACAATAAGCTACTCTCATTGAGATCTGTTTCTGTGCCAAATTTCAAGTCGAAATTCAAAACTCAGTTTTGCTGATGTTCCTGAGGAGGACCACGGCATTTTGCTTAAAAATATTGTAATAATGCAGTATCTCGACAGTAATAAGCTAGCGGCCCGAACTCTTTTCAGGATATTCATAGCTCATTAGGACCTACATGATGCACATAGTTCCGACTCCAAAGCAATTTGACAGTTGGGGCCCTTCCCTCGTGAGTGTTTGAAAAAGAACGTTCCCGGTCTTCTCCATCGTCTTTGGCCAAGTCTGCGTTATATTTCGACAGCGATAGGAGGCACTTTTAATATGTACAAAGCCGATATACAATTCTATTGTGGAGAACAGCTATCTCTGATTAATCTACTCGCTTATGGTGCAAGTGAAGGATTTTTTGGTGCCATCGCAAGTATTTACACTGACGAGTACTTTCCATTACCAACACATGCAATCTTCGAATTCATTAAAGAAGAAGATATTCAGCAAGTAAGACGCTTGAAACATCGAATTTCATCTAAGTATTCAAAAGCAATGCATATTTTGCATAATAATAGATTGATCAGATCGTTAGTTTCCGCTCTCCTTCACTTATAGAACTCATAATGAGAAGAGCTTATATACATCATAGCTCATCATCAACTCAAGCAATCGAGATTGGGCTGACCTAGTTGACCTGCATTTTTAAGATAATCTGTATGCTAAAAATTTCAAATGTATACGCTGAGTTTGTAGAGCAATACTTTCATTGTAAATAAAAGAATGTAATGCTCTTCGCCGAAAAGCATTTCATCGAAAGACTCGTGGGACGCTTCAGACTGTTACAAATCATTTAATTCTTATACAGGCTTGTTAAGCATGAAGATATCAACTCATTTTGTCCTCATCCTCAGCTTTCGAGCGTGTTCCGTAGCCAAAAAGATACTTTCGACGAACAGCACACATAACAATTGAAAGACGATATACTGATAGTTGCTGATTAAACAAAATAACATCACCATCAATTAAATATCGTTCAACAATACCACCAAACTAAGATAAAAGATTATTTAGTGTAGAATAAATATAAATATGAACCAAAAGGTTTACACGTGATTTAGCAGCCGTTTCATTACGATCAACATATTTAAGAAATTTTTTCCATTAATTCTTTACATGAATTATAAAATTTGTACCTGGATGAATATCAGAACCATTACGAACAAGTTGTCGAATAAAATCTATATTTTATTTTATTAACTATTTCAGGATAAGAAATTTTCTATGCAGTATGAATTGGAACGGCTACTTAAATAAATATATGAGCAACATTATTTCTTAACGGCACGAATTCATAAAATAATAATACATGTATTTCGGAATAATAAATTTTTCTGAAGCTAATTTTTATATATTAAGTTACTCTAGATACGCTAAAAACCTCAGTGCTAGGGACCTTTATTCAAAAGAGTTGTCAGTAAAACATTAGTCTTAGTGGCGTAACACAAAACAGAATATCAGCTTTTATCTTAGGCATTTTAGTTTTAAAAAACTCCGAATCAAGGCACGACTAGATAGTAAACGTTGTAGATAACTTCTGAGTCTACAAAATTTCTATCCAATTGTTTTTTTTTATGACCATGCCAAGAGTTTTCAAAAACAACGATTTACTTTTCGCTAGCGACGTGAGCAAGTACAATCAAATGCTCTGGTAACCGAATGAGAAGTTCAAAACCAATTCTATACGGCACAAACTCTTTCTCAGAATCTCTAGATGATACTGGAGAAAGAACTACATGAACATCTTTTAAATAGTTCGAACGATTTAAATATTGTATTTTAATAGAATTTTCTTTGAAATTTTGTTTTGTTTAATTTCAGACGAACGTTTGTGTTTATAAACATTAGAATAGAATTACTTTAGTTAATTGCCAAATTTGAGTAACCTACCGTATTTGAAAGAAAAAAAATACAAATGAAATTTGGCATACAAACACTAAATATAGATCGTAGCAGAAATACTTTTAGCAAATCAGTTTAGTGTTAAATAGACAACAATTCGAAAGTTCTTTCAAAATTACACGAAGAGAAAATTGATGAAACTTATAATGCTTGTGAATATATCGAGTGTTCGAGTTGCTAAAACAGCCAGATAATGTCTACAATAATTAATATACAATTCAATTAATCAATTGAAGATTGTCAAACTTGCGTCTATAGTATTCTAATAGGACCTGTTTATTCTTTGGCGAAATAATTATAAATTTCAGTATACGACTAATTCGTTTATCACAGTCATTATAGTATATTCAGTAAAAACAATCAATTCTTTTCGAATATAGTGTCTACTGAATGATTTGTGTTTTAAACATATTTCTTCATTTTTATTCAAACACAATTATTTAGACAAACGATTTCAATGATCATCTAGAGTATTCTTTATTCATTTAAGTAAAACAAATATAACAAGAACTTCAAAAAACAAAATACAATCTTTAATTAAGAAAATACAATCTTCAATTAAGAAAATACAATCTTCAATTAACAAAATAAATTTATTTATTTGAGAACGATGATTGTCGACTTACACCAGCTCCTCTAAAAAGAGAACATAATTAAAATATATATGACAGCTCAAGAATCATTCAAAAACTCTTAGATACTTCTTAAAATTTTTTTTGAGATTAATAGCTTCTATTCTATTTGCCCAAATATGTAATGAAGTTCCATTCACTAAAAAAAAAATTCATATTGAATAATTATAGAAGCCTTTTTTTTTGATGGAGAAACACGAACTTGAATTGACATTTTCAGTACTTTTTTAGAGAGGAATATTGAAAAATGAACAGTTTTTTTAACCTTTGAGGCAGGAAAAAAAACGTAAAAATATCCCTACTGAACCTATCGATCGGTTCCAGAGTTGCCGCCTCTTCTACTTTTAGCAGAAAAATTCTGCTTTTTGAAAGTTTTTCTGCTTTTTTAAGATTTTTCTGCTTTTTTTTAATACTGCATAATTTATAATTTTAATCAACATCTTTCATCTCGAAGGTCTTTATTTCCATAATTATATAAAAACCGTATCAAAAACTACTGATGTCGGTGTTCTGTTCTAATTCTTTCTATTTTATACAAATGATTTTTATTTTCCACTGACTACAAACAACTCATAATGAATATTTTGGCTTCTTAATCAATTTTTACCTATGGTTTTTCTATTGTATGTTTTAGTATTCATTTGATTTATATACATCAACATATACATTCTCTTGTTTATTCACCCGATGAAACATAAAGCATTAATATGATTTCTGAGAATAAAGGGGCAGAAAAAATAATAGTTCCAGACGATAATGACAGTGCGACTAGCAAAGAAGGTAGTCATGTAGTTGTAGTTGCTGAACAAACAAATATGCCATAAAGAGTTAAACCAGAAAAAAAAAGAAATCTTATAGAAGTTTCTTAAACAGGGAATGGCTCAGAGCCGGCGAATATTAATAATTTTTAAAAGAATATAAAATAAATTCATCTCAGTCAATATTAATTGTTAGTCATTAATACTTTTTCAGGCATCACAATAAAAAGCTAATATTGATGATCTTATGAACACTCAGAAGCATAAAAAGTTATGAAATCTTATGATTTAATCAACGATTTGGTTGAATTTCTCCTCTTCGTATACCAAAATGGGTACATACTAATTTGGCAAGCAAAATTTAGCGAAAATTCTTAAATCAGATGAAGAATACACTTTAAAAAGAAAACATGCTCAACGATTCTGTTTATTTGTTAATTGATTATCTTTCCTGATGCTTTGCAATGAAGATCGAAATTCGATTTGAAAATTATTAATTAGTACAGTGAAACAAAAATTTAAAACCCGTTTCATATCATAAACATAGGTTCTGCTTTTTGATGATAAGATTTCTGTTATTTTCTGCTCTTTTTAAACTGTTTTCTGCTTTTCGGACTTCAAAAGGTGGCAACCCTGATCGGTTCATTTACTTACATTTTATAGACGAAGCCTTGAACTTCTCGACTGTTTGTTTGATAATTATACGACATTCGGCTTCACTAAAAAGCGACAGATAAATTGATGAATGAGAAAAGATTTTAACTTACTACTCGTATTCAATTACATCTTTATCTTCGTCAACTTTATGACCAATAGTTCGTAACTTCTTACAATCATTTGCAATCACTAGGAACAAGTTCAGTTTTGTTAGTATATAATTGATAACAAGTATTAGGTCTTACTTTCAAAATTTTCTAATTCAAATGATGCTTTCATTCGATTTTTAAGATAAACAGTTAATTCATCTTTCTCATTTGTTTCATCGATAAGTTTTGTCATTATCTAAAATATTTCACTAAGGTTAAGGGTTACAAGCAAATAAAAAAAACTAACGTCAGAAGCTTTCTGGTATTCTTCCTTCTGCATCGCTTGCATATAATTGAACAAGGGATCTTTTTTGGGCATAATTCAATAAATTACTTCGATGAGTACACTATCTAAAAGGAAAAAGCAAAAACAAATTAAAAAAACGTATATGACATGTTCTTAGGACAGAATTATTAACATTTATTTTAAACACAAGAGTCAGACAAAGACTACCCTTTCTTTTCTACTGTTCAATTAGAGAAAGAAAATTTTCCAATCATCGTTTATGACTATAATTATAAATGATTTGCGGAAGAGGTCGCTCTCTTATATGATTGTTTCGGATTCTTCCATTAACTCAATCTTGCATAAAAACAGGATAAAAAATAACGCAAATATTTTTCTTTAAAAACTTTAAAACGGGCGCGAACGAAAAAGATCTAATCTAAAAATTCTAGTTGGCCCACAGCAACTAACCAATAAAGTGCTTTTTCAAGTGC